GGGTGGGTCTCTTAAGAGAAAGGACAAGAGGGGGCAAGTCAGTTTGAAGGGGTTGAAAAGTAGTCCGAGGCCCCCCCTCCTCTTCCCCCATACCCTACCGCCTCTGCTGGTGGGGTTCTCCCTTCACCCCTCAACACCAAAGCAGAGACTGCAGCCGTTAGCGGTCAGGTCTCTGGACACAAAATACTTTTGCTTTGTGGTCTCCTGACGTTGTCACCACCAGGGAGGCATCTCTGTGGACAGAAAGCGCAGGTCGATGGGACTGAGGGACCTGGGGCCCGGCCCCAAGCCCATTACCCAGGGACCCTCGGGTGGCCTCCTCCAGGGCATCCTCAATCCTAGATCCCTGGTGCCTGGCACCAGGCTGACGTGTCCACGTCGAGTGAACACACTGGATGCCAGCAACCAGTAAGGGGATCAGAGAAGAGCCCACAGCATGGGGGAGACGGTCCCAGCCCCTTAGCCCCGGAACGGAGATGTGAGAGCCCACGCAGGTTACCCTCAGGCCTCCCCGCCCTTCGGGCTCACATACCAGGCCTTAGACCCCAGCTTCCCTTAGGAAGCCCCTCCCACACCCCAAGGACCCTGCGGCCCCCCAGGTGCCATTCCCACCCTCCAAATACACAGAGACTCCAGCCCTTGCCCAACTCACGTACTTGCTGAGGGCAAAGTCCAGGATCTCGGCCGTGTGGCCCCGGTAGTCCGTGAGCAAGCGGCCGGTGCGAGCATCCCAGAGGCGCACGATGCCGTCCAGGCTGCAAGTGTAAACCACAGCGGTGCCCGCCTCCCACAGCAGCTGCACGATGCCTGACTGCACCGGGGGGCCACGGGACAGAGCGGGCAGAGCGGACGTCAGGGCTGGGAGAGCAGGAGGCGCCTGCCCTGACTTGGGCAGGGGGGAGCAGCGGGGAGGCGGGGAGGGCCGGGGAGGGCCACAGAGGGCCACGCCGGAGCTCCAGGCTGCCCGTACCTGGTGCTGACACTGGTGCCTGAGGGTCTGCGTAGACAGGTCATAGATGGCCAAGGTCCCATCCAAGTAGCCAACAGCTGCCAGAGGCATCCTGGGCAGAGGAGAGCACCACTAAGGCTCGTGGAGGGACCTGGACTCACGCACCCTGCACTCCTCCCTGGCTCCCCGGCCCAGGCACCCCTTGCCAAACCCCGTCCTCCCCAGCTTTCTCCTTTCCAGGCCGAGGCCCTTCTCACACTCACACGCTGCAGAAGCCCAAAGACTCCACGGAGTTGGACTCGCTCTCCTCCCCTTCTCCCACGTTGGGCTGGGAGGCCACGGTCTCGGGTCTGAAAACCCCCACCACCTAGAAGCCACGGGAGAGAATCCGAGGATGGGAGGAGGGCTGATGAGAAGGAGGGAAGGCGACGGGAGAGGGGCCAGGAGAGGGGCCGAGAGAGCCCTCGGTGGAGGGGGACACATGACACGGCAGCAGAGGCTCCAGGTCGCCCTCACCTTGCCAGCGGTGGCGCTGACCAGCTTGGCCTGGCAGTCCACGGAGCCGGTGAGGATCAGGCTGCCGTCCTGGTTGGCGGCGACACAGGTCAGAGGGCCCTGGTGACCCTCGGTCCCTAGGACGGAGCACACAGCTAAGTCAGGCTTCCTCGCGGCCCCCGACGCCTGCCCCAGGCCTTCTGCACAGACACCCGGAGAACCCTGGCCCTGCCCTGGAGACCTTTTAGTACGTGGATCGGGCTTCCCTGCTTCAGGTCCCAGATCCGGATGGTGCCATCTTCATAGCCGACCACAGCTCTCTTCCCTGAAGGGCCGCAGGCACGGACGAAGAGAAAGACAGCACTCACAGGCACACCCGGCAAGGGAATGGGGGGGAAGGGGGAGACCAGGAAGTAAGGGAACGGACGCCGCCCCAGGGACTAGCGGCCAGTCAGGGCAGGAAAGGGGAAGCGGTCGGCTCTGGGGCCTGGGTCCGTGTTCCAGACAGCAGAGCTCGGAGCCGGCCGGCTAAGGCCCGGGAGGGAGCCCAGGAAGGCGCGTGAACCTGGAGCCAAGCTCTCTGTGACCCGGGAAAGACAGACAGGGCAGCGGCCCTCACCGTCAGGGAGGACTCGGCCACAGGTAGCTGGGCAGCTGGGGCCTTGGAAGGTCTTGCAGTCACCATTTGGGACCTTCCACATCCAGGTGTTGCCGTCAGCCGTGCCCGCCAGGAGGACAGGTGCCCGAGGGTGCCACTCCATCCACTGGGCAGAGGGCAAGGGTCAGCAGGGAGGCCTGTCCCCCCTAGGAGCCCGTCCCATAAGCGCCACCCAAGCTGTCCTTGCTTCCGAGGGTGGCAGGGACGGGACAGGAAACAGCCCCACACTCTCGCTGCACGTGGAGAGCACGCTGCCTTAGAGCGGGCTCGGTCTAGTAAAGGCGAGACTGGCCCCCCCCAGCTCCCAGCTCCTCCCCAAGGCCCCGCGCAGCTGAACACCACTCTGATGCTCTCACCTCCAGATCTCCCGCTTCAAAGGACCAGACCTCCTCCTTGGTGTCCACCTGCCACACTTTCAACAGGCCGCTCATGTCCCCTGTGGCCACGAGGGTAGAGTCGTGGCTGAAACCAGCACAAGTAACAGAGTCTTTATGGCCTGCAAAGGGAAGGAGACAGAAAGAGAGGAGAACATCAGGAGAACAGGACCCAGGTGGCTGACGCCCAGAAAGGACCAGCTGGGAAGAGAAGAAGGCTGGGTCCCACCGTAACAGGTGACTCCTGCTCACTGCCGCTCCAGGAGGTCTCCCTAGGGATGGTAATGCTCGCCTCCCACTCCACCATGCCTAGCCCAGGCCTATGTCCTCCCCATTCTGTCCACTCCACACCTCTGCCCAAAATACCGGCTCCTCCCTTCTAAATATCCTATGCTGCTGTTACCTCCTCCCAGACCTTCCCCAGACTCCTTTGGCCAATACTGGCTCCCTCCCCATGCCCAAGACAGACTAGGTTATTCTGAGGTCCTTGGGTCCAGCATAGAACTGGCCCCAAATGGGCACCAGTAAATGGCTGCTGTCTGCACAACCATTGCAGGCTAGCCCCCTATGACCTCCAAAGGAACATGACCTCACCGTACTCCCTCACCTGCACACTCAAAGAGCAGCTCCCCATCGCTGAGCCGCCACACGAAAGCTTTGTCATCCTCACCCCCTGTCACTGCCAAGGTGTTGGTCTTGGGGTCCAGGCTCACACAAAACACAGATGCTGTCCAAAGAGATATTCCATGAGTAAGCGGACAGGGCTCCCACCCCAGGTTCTGTCCTTCGGGACCTTCAGGAAACCCACCCCCTTCCACCCAAAGCAACATGTCTTTCCTCCTGGAAAAGAAGAGTGCATCCAAGTTCTTCTAAGTTTCAAGCATCAAGTTGTTGGAGCAATTCCTCCCCGTGCTTGCCAAGCTCCATCCAAGTCCTTCCCCAGGGCTGCTGCGTTCACCACCCCAGACAGACGCACAGACAAGAGGAGGGTACACGTGCAGGCTTACAGGTCTCAGCACGGGCTGCCACCAGGCTGAGCACAGAGTGAGGAAAGCACCCTGTCACTGACCTTATTAAGGGCCACCATTTGAGAGAATTATATAAAACATGCTCAAAAAGGTACTACTACCTCTAATTTACAACAAGACGACTTTTTGAAAAGAAACTAACACCCAGAGAGATTAACAGAGATGACAAATCCGTAAGGAGCAAAGGGAGGATTTGAAGCCAGGGGGCTCAGCTGGCTCCGGGAGCCAAGCTCTCCCCCAGGCCTTCACACTGCGAGCTCCTCCAGGGCAAGGCCAGCCTCTGTTTTCCCACCTCCGTGTCCCTCGGAAGGCTCCCTACACAGCAGGTGTCTGATGTTCAAATGCCCACGTGCACTGAGTTGATGACCTGATGACGGGTTTCCTCAGAGACCCACCTGAGTGCAATGCAAAGGTGACTTCGCTATCGTCTGGGCCCTCCATGCTGCCCACCACCCCTTCCTGGGGTTCCAGAACCCAGCCCTCCTCGTTGCCCTCCTCCTCTTCTTCCTCTTCTTCAAAGTCCACATCTTCCATCTCCTGGGCCAGATCATCTGCTTTGGGGAGAGGGTTAAGAGATGGGGCTCGGCAGACAGTAAGAAAAAGGGCAGGGGAGAAGTGGTGGGGAGGCCTGAGGCGCTGGGGTGTAGCAAGAGGGTCGGCTGAGGTCAGACAGAGAGGGTGAAGCGCGGGGAGAAGCGGCAGGGAGGAGGGGGCACTGGGGACGGAGGACAGGAGAGGTCTGAGGACCCGGGGTTGGCCAGAGACGGTGTAGGAAGGGAGGACCGAGGGGATGATGGGAAGGGGGTGTGTGAGGGGAAGGGCCAGAGGAGGCGTCAGGGGAACCCCCACCCCTGCCAGGCCTGAGAACTAAGTGTGGGGGCAGGGAAGGGGGGAAGGGCGAAAGAGGTCGGTAGGAATGACCGGTGGGGAGGGGACGGGAGGGGGGAGAAGCAAGGGTCAGAGGCCAGGGGTGAGCGCCTCCTGTCCCACGGCCCGAGGAGCGGCAGTTCTCACCCGGGTCCGGCGGGCCAGGATCCAGTTCTACCACCTCGATAATCTCCTCATCACCATGGAAGCTCAGGGTCTCCAGTGGGGGGGTGTCAGCGGCGGCCCCGCTCTCGGATTCGGACTCCATGCGGCGCAAGCAGCCGATCCACTTCTCTGGGCCCAAACGCCTCCCAGAGTCAGCTCTGCGCGACGACGCGGAACTCGAGCCCCTCCTCCCGGGAGGAAGTAGGCGTAGGCGACTCCCCGGCAGGAAGAGCGATTGCCGCTAGGCCAATGGCGAAGGGGGCTAACTGGCCGACCCACCAGTCACAGGGCAGAGTTGGGAGAAGGGGCCGGGGCGTGGCGGGGAGAACCCAAACTCCGCCCGGCCTGACTCCGCCTCCAACAGGAGGGAAACAAGCGAGCGTGCGCGCCTCCGGGGTCTCCTGGGAAGGGTAGTTCTCCAGGGTCCCCTCCGAGGCTTCTGGGAGATGTAGTTTCTGGTCTGTAGGCAGGACGGAAGGAGCGGGGGAGGCCCCTTACGCAAACTACAATTCCCGGCGCGGAGCGCGGGGAAGGGGGGGTGGGATCTGAACATGGCGGCGGTGGTAGCTGCTACGGCGCTGAAGGGCCGGGGGGCGAGAAATGCCCGCGTCCTCCGGGGTAAGGAGAGGGACCCCGGGGAGGGCAGGACGGCAGGGGATCCCCTTTTTTTATACATCCCAACCAGCGATAGCAGGAGGTCATGGCTGTCGATTCCTGCCTGCACCCCTCTGCAGGATCATAAAGAGTCAAGGGGCTCAAAGATACTCTCTAGAGGTCACCCAGCCCATCCCCCTGCCCTCAAGTTACGCGACACCTGTGGGGTCATGCTGCGAGAGGGAGCTCCGAGGAAGCCTTTTAGACTCCCGCGCTCCAGGTGTTTTACACTCACCGCAGTGCAGAGGAAAGAGCCCTGGGCTTCTGGAGGCTTGGGTTCTAGCCCCGGATAATTAGCAGTTTGACCTTGGGCGAAGCAGTTCGGCTCTCGGGGCTTCAGTTTCCTCTTCTATAAAATAAGGGGATGGAGTAGACTACCTTTAAGCTCCCAGTGCTAACATCCTGCAGTTTGAAAACCTTTCCTCGGATTTCCTTGATACGACTTATGTGAGCCCCACTGCAGTCCTTCACATTCTGTCGTCTGAGCAGATGAAGAACAACGAAGCTCGCTCTCCTGGCACCAGGGTGATGAGCCCGCAGTGACGTGGAAGTGGCTTCCAGACGTGCCACCTCGATGGCAATTTTCCCATTTTCCCTTTGGATTCTCCCTGACACTTGTTACTCCAAACTGCTGTCTCTCCCCTTTTTCCCCTGGGCTTTCTTCTCATCCTCTCTTACTGACCTTCCTTCCTTCCATCCGCAGGGATTCTCTCAGGAGCCACAGCTAACAAGGCCTCACAGAACAGGACCCGGGCACTGCAAAGCCACAGTTCCCCAGAGTGCAAGGAGGAACCGGAGCCCCTATCCCCTGAGCTGGAATACATTCCCAGAAAGAGGGGCAAGAACCCCATGAAAGCTGTGGGACTCGCCTGGTGAGTTTTAACTAAAACTCTTTGCCCACCAATGGGGAGTGGCACAGTGGAGGGCGGGACCCAGAAAGTTTCTTCAAGTTTTAGGTGGTGAGTTGAATCTGAGGTTGTGGGGACAGAACTGCTTGACGTGAGGACTGGAATCTCAGAGGAATGGCGCAAGGGAGGTGGGAAAGTATGTGGAATTGGAGACACAGTGGGTTTTCGGTGTAGTAAGCTGGGCTAATCTGATTGGGCTAATCTGAGCTCTTTCATTGAGATCATTGAGATCATGAGAGATTATGTTAGTTGTATAAGTAGCATCTAGAAGGTGTCCAATACTTCGTTATTTGGATCTGACTCTGACCTTAATATGTATTGTTGATCAACATTAAAAGGAAAGGAGAGGAAAATTAACAGTTTTTTCCACACCTGAGGTGTGCCAGTACTTTACAGTGTAATGTTTTAGTTTTTCTGAGATAAATGTTACATCCCCTAAACCCAAAATACAAAAAAAAAATTTCTTTTTTAATTACATCCCATTTCACAGAGGAAGGAACTCTAAGTAAGGTTCAGAGGTGGGATTCTCACCAGGTCTTATGACTCCATGCCCTCTCCCCCCACACTAAAGTGCCTCCCAGGTAGCGGTTACTCAGATGAAGGGGAGTCGAGGAGGGGATGTGGGGCGGTTAAGGCAGAGGGAACCTTTGCCAACACTTGGAGAGGGAAGGAGGATGGGCCATCTGGAGAATCTTGCATAGTCCGTATGGCAGGATCACAGGGCTCTCAGGTCAAGGAGCCTCAAGCTATACGGGAAAGGAATGAAAAGATGGGCAGGGGACCAACCACACTGGGCCTTTTGTGCTGTGCCTAGGAGTTTGGATTTGGCCAGGAAGTGACGGGGAGCTTTAGAGAGTTTTAAGCAGTGCGGCAGCAGGATCTGATTGGCTTTTGGCCCTCCAGCAGCCAGTGCGGAGGCTGCAGAGACACGAGAGGTATTGCGGTGTTCGTGCAACCGATGAAGCTGGAATGAGATTGCCCCAGCTCCTCTGGCTCAGGCTTGGCCCCTCCCCAAATCCCGTGCACATCTCCCCACCCCTAGGGCCATCGGCTTCCCCTGTGGTATCCTCCTCTTCATCCTCACCAAGCGGGAAGTGGACAAGGACCGTTTGAAGCAGATGAAGGCTCGGCAGAACATGCGGGCATCCAACACGGGCGAGTATGAGAGCCAGAGGTTCAGGGCCTCCTCCCAACATGCCCCGTCTCCTGAAGCAGGGTCGGGGGTGCAAGCCTGAGGAACACTGCCACCCTCCCCTAGACTGTATTGACTGTGGCCTCCAAGACTGAAGTCCTCTGGGTTTGGCCAAGATTCCGGTCCTTGCCTATGAGGTCCGCCAGAGGGCGCTGCCAGCCCCCTGCCCTGCCCCCCCTCAGAAGCCAGCCAAAGGCAAATAAAGTCCTGGAATGTTTTGAGCCCAAAGGAACCAGGAGTGGGCTTGTGAAATCCTTGGGACGGGAGGGGCCGAGGGAGGGGTTGGTTACTCACATGTGCTCCTCTCACAGGAGCGCTCAGTGTTCCTGGCTGGCTGGTTGGGGAGACTACGGAGACTTAAGTACAACAAGCTTAGGCTCAGGCCCTGGGGACCAAGCCTTCAGAGCTGCTGGCCAGGAGGGTGGGGTCTCACTGAGCCTCTAACGAAAAATAAAAAGAATCAAAAAGGGATTCAGAGTGAGGGGGGGGAAGCACTCCTCTTGGTCCGGTCCAAGTGACTGGGCACTCTGGACCTCAGTTTCCTTGTTTGTAACAGGGATTGGACTAGTGATTTCTTTTTTTTTTTTTTTTTAAGATTTTATTTATTTATTTGACAGAGACATAGAGCAGGAACACAAGCAGGGGGAGTGGGAGAGGGAGAAGCAGGCTTCCCGCGGAGCAGGGAGCCCGATGTGGGACTCAATCCCAGGACCCTGGGATCATGACCTGAGCTGAAGGCAGACGCTTAATGACTGAGCCACCCAGGCACCCTGGACTACTGATTTCTAAGGCATGGGTTCTAAACTTGAACCTGTGGTTCATCTCCCTCCACCCCCACATGTGAAGTCGTGTGAACACATACAGCTTTGTGGGGAGGGGAGTTCATAGCTCTCATGTGCATTTGTAAAGGGTCTAGGATGCAGAAAAGGTCACGTGCCACTGCTCTGACCGGTCCCTGCCAGACCCAATATTGCAGGGTTGAACCTTTACCAGTCTGTTGCATCCATCACCAGGAAGCACTGGGGCAAAATATATTTGATTATCTTAGAAAAGGCAGAAGACGCCAAGCCGGAAGGCAGAGGTAGGAAGCGGATGCTTAGGGCAGAGCCAAACCAGCACTCCCAGAGCTCCCACCTTAAAGCAAAGAAACCAGAGCCAAATAGGGGTTTAACTCCTAAACATAAAACTTTATTACATTTCTAGTTATGTCCTTTTGCGTGATATATTTAGGACCAAGTAGTTAAGAGAAGTCCTAATTATATCCTTGGGCTAATTTGGTTTCCACCCCCACCAACAGACTGACTCTTGTCCCCCTCCCCCCGTTCCAGCTTGAGGCACTAGGTGTTGCGAAAAAGTGGCAGCTGGCTGGAGAGAGAAGGCTCAAGTCTGAAATCCCCCAGTACAAACTGAGAGCGGAAGTCTCCTTTCGCTCAGGGTCCTCCCCAGGTTAGCATAAGAACACGGAAGTTTCCATGGATACCACAGGAGGCTTTCATATCCCTCAGACCAGGCGGAAGACCCCAGAGCCTTTCCCCTGCCCCCACCCTGGCCTCTCTTCACCATCGTTACTTCCTGGCCACACTTACAGTCCTACAAACCACCCCATCTCCTGACCTTTGCTCCTCACTTTCTGCTCTGAGCAGCTTGGGCACTGGAAGCAAGAGGTCTCTCTGACCAGAGATCTCAGAAGCAGCCAGGGAGGCCCCAGGCAGCTCTGGAGAATGGGGACCAGCCTGTCCTCTCCACCACCAGAAGCCATGAGGAAGCCCAGGGTAGATGCCACTCTGTATTGGCCCCTGTGCTTGACTTTGCTTACTCCCCTCTTCCTCCCCTGCTCCAAATAAACAGTATATGTATTAGCCATCAAAAATAGGGGGATTGAAGCAGGGGAGACCCATGGGCACAGATCTCTTCTACCTTCAGGAGCTTGAAGGGTTGTCAAAGGAGTACAGGACAATGGCCTAGGAGTCCAGGAGGCTGGGGACAAAGCTCTCTGACTTGGGGGTTGAGGGAGGAAAGAGCTCTAGCTACAGAGCCCAGAAGCCTATGGCAGAGGTGGGAGGGGACACCTCATCATCTCAAAGTCACTTCTACCTCTCATACTCCTTTTTGGCTACAGAGTAGGCTCTTCTTGTCCTTCCCTGCAACCCCAGCTATTGAGAAGAGTTTGGTGCCATGTAGTGGGTGGAGGAAGAAGGCACATCTGCCTAGTCCCCTCTGGGTCTGTCAAAGGCAAGAGTTAGTCCCCAGTTCCTCCAGCCCGCCAGCTAACCTGTGCATCCATCACCAGAGAGGCCACCCATTACAGGACAGAACAGAAACTGGGCATGTTACTGGAGGGAGAAGTAAAGAGATCTGAGGTCCAGACTCTGGTCACAGGGCCCAGCCCTCTAGGGAAGGGGGAGCCCACGGTGGGGCGGAATGCGGTGCTCCTTAATTGCGATCCCCGACCAGCTGCAGCACAAAGGTGAAAATGTAGATGATATCGGTGTAGATCTGCAGAGCGCCAGTGATATAGTCCTCGGGGCTGATGGTGTGCTTCCGGTTCCCCAGGACCAGCTGCGTGTCATAAGCCAGGAACTGTAGGAATAGGGAAGGCACGCGTGAGGACCCAGGGGCTCTGTGGCCGGAGCTCCTTCCTGGTTCTCATTTCATCAGCAGATCCGTCCTGGGAGCCTCCGTGCCATGCAGTATGCTTAGGGACACGTTAACGAACAGCACAGCACGTGGTCTCTACCCTCAATTGGTTCAGAGTCTAGAAAGGGAGAGAGACACACCCCCATCCGTAATAGGGCCTGCTGGGTATGCTCCATAGCTGGCAGGTGAACAAAAAAGAGGTGGCAGGATCGCCCAGAACATCAGTCATCTCGACAGCGGAGAGAGAGAAAGGTAACTGTGGCCCACTCCCTGCCTCCCAAGCAGCCCGAATTCATGCTCTGTCTGTCTAGTTGCTCCCCTCCAGCCCCTCAGCTCCCCTGCCAAGAGGGAGCAGGGCCTTACTCACCAACGTGAAGCAAATGGCCCCCAGAGCAGCATAGACCATGTGGAGCCAATAAATCTGGGGAGAGGGGACAGGGATGGTGTTAGAAATCTTAGCAAAGCACGGACCCAGGCAGTCCCTCAGAACCAGCTTCCCCCTATTCTGGGAAGAATAGGGAAGAGCAGGGAGACCCAGGAAGCTAGCTACATGAAAGGACCACTTCTGCCTTCTAGATCGGGGAAGAAATTAGTAGTAGTAACATATTTGGGATGCCTGGCTGGCTCACTCAGTGGAGCATGCAACTCTTGATCTTGGGGTTGTGAGTTCGAGCCCCACACTGGGTGTAGAGATTACTTAAAAAAAAAAAAAAGAACAGTAACAAATTTGGACAGAGAAAACAGGCCATCCTCCAGTGGTCATATGAAACCAATCTCCAAAGTTAGGGTACAGAAGTGTCCACTGTACTTCTGGAAAAAAGCAGGTGGTTGCGTTGTAGCTCTGGAAGAGACAGAGCCAGGCAAGCACTGGTCGAAGAGCCCTGTCCCCTTTCCCCCAGTCCTAGTCCGTGCTCAGTCATGGTTCCTGCAGCCAGCCTGGGAAGGAAGCCCCCAGCCACCCTAAGGACTGCCAGAATTCTGGAGCCCTCCAGGTGCCTGTTCATAGAAGGGCAGGGCCAGCCATGGTCCAGTAGGCAGGTGCCCTCAGCACGGTGCTCCCCTCCTCGCAGGTCCCTTCCATGCAAGCCCATCTTCTCAGTCCTGGGCGCCTCTCCCATCTCTCTTCTAGAACCTAACCTAAGCTGCCAGGCAGATCTCCCCACTACTTCCCATGGGAATTCTGCAATGCCATCCAGGGCCTTAGGTTCTACGGCTCCCAGGGCCTTCACATCTCCACATAGAGATTACCCTAACCCAAATGATGGTGCTCCCGTGTCGGAGCCTTTGCTAGCCAGTTGTGAGCTTCCAGAAGGCCTGGCCAACACTTGATACAGAAAGTCTCCTCCGAGTGCTAGGTTCGCTGACCCCAGCTCTCCCAGGACACTCACATATTTGAAGGACAGCACAATGGCAGTGACAATCCCAGTCACCATCATCACAATTCCCAGGACACAGAAGAGGCCTGTGCACGAGGTAAAGTCCACCTGCCAGAAAGGGAGGAGGAGGCACCTGTCAGACGAGTGTCACAACCAGCAGCCCAGCCAGACTGCCCCGCCTCCCCAACCAGGGAATCCCAGTGCCGCCTCCTAGAAGGCACGGGAGTAACCATGACATTCTAAAGACAGACACAGGGAACAGTTTTATAGGTGCAGATAGGAAGGGAAGGGGATTAGGGTCTCTTAAGGGAAATCCCCGGTGTAGACGGGTCTGGGCCCTGGCAGGCCTGCTGCAGTGCCAAGCCTGGAGGGCCAGGTTTATATAAAGAAAGGGGGGGTGGCCAGGGAAGTGCCCCCCACCCCTCCCCATACCCTCACCTTGGTCTGAAAGCAGAAGATGGTGACCGAAATGGACACCACAGCAGTGATGATCATTGCAATGATGACGGCTTTGGTTTCATACACACTGAGGGGAAGGAGTTCGGAGAGGCCAGAGGCATAAGTCATATAGGAATGACTTCAAAACTATCACTTCTAGAAGGATCCTGCCCGGCATCCCCCCCCCCCCCCCAATGCAGAGGACTGCCAGCCCAGGGATGCCCCACTCCCTCCCCCATAATACACATTTCACAAGAGTGTGATGGTTTGTCCCTGAGTGTACCTGGAAATGGTGCCCGTCATGAAGCCCATGGCAAGAGTCTGAGGGGAGGACAGAGATAAGAGTGGAACACGTAAGAAAGGCGGGCCCCCTGCAGGCACGGCCCTGATGGACTGCCAGAGCTGGGGGCACATGTGACTGAGCAGGAAAGAGGCAGCCACGAGGAGACCAAGAGCGTGGGTCAGGTTAGGGTTGGGGAGAGTGCCAGGGACATCACCACGGTTGTGTCCCCAGCCCTTCCCTCGGACCCACCCTCCCTCACCCCTTCTTGACTTACAAAAATGGTCAGCAGGATGATGTTCCATGGGAACCGGCGTCTGAAGGGAAAAAGACCGTGATTAAGTGACTTGGGGCCAGCCAGGTATCAGAGGCTCTTTCAGCAGCAGGTAGTTCTGGCTCAGGTGCTTGGAGAATGTGGCCTTGACTTGGGGGGGCGGGGAGGCTGGGATGGCCTTTGGGACCTGCTCAGGTGTTCTGTGCAGGGACAGCGTGGGCCAATGGGACAGACCTGGGCTGTGGAACCACAAAGACCCGGATCCATTTGCAGCTCTTACCCGGCCTGCCTGTGTTAACTGTGGGAAAAGTTACTCAGCGTCCCTGAGCCTTGGGTGCTTCCTATTTGTTAAATGGTTAAAATGCTACATACCTTGCAGAGGTACCATAAAAATAACAGCCACACAACTGAATCGATCACACACAGGCAAGGGACTTTGAACACACCTGAACCTCAGCTGCGCCCATCACCACACAGCTGCTATAGGGATCCCCTTTCTTCCCCAAACACTTGGTCCCCCCTCTCCTGCCCCCCACCATCCCTTCTCATTGTCTGGGACTCACCTGGGTCCCTGGCAGCAGGCGAGGGTCAGATAGGTGGCCAGGAAGACAGCACTGGGAAGAAAGAGATGAGGAAGTAGCCCACAAGCCCGATCCACCCCTCGGCCCTCTCCAGGACCCGCCTGGCAGCACTCCCCAGGCCGGCAGGCTGGGGGCCCACAGAACCCTTTGGAAGTCTGAGGGGAAGCCACCCAGGACAAGAGTACCCCAGCCAAGGGCACTGAGAACCTCTGAGACGGAGGGTTTAGCCAGGAAGGAGGCTGAAGGAGACCGAGGCAGATAAGCTAAGAGAACTTGGGGACCCGCTGGCAGTCTGCGTGTTGCCACCGGTCCCCTACCCCTGCTTCCAGGCGCTCTGTGGTGCTGTCACTCCTCACTTGGCCCCTCCCACACACCCACACTCCCCAGCACAGCTGGCAACTTGAAGGGCCCCTCTCAAAACGTATTTGGATCCCTGCCCTGAGAGAAGCTGGTCAGTGGTCCCCCCTCATCTCCTTGCCCCCCTCTCCCAACACACATACAGCAGAGGGGAGCGGAGACTCACTAGGACACATAGTAGACATACAGGTTTCTCCTCACGAAGTCGCCAACTGGCTTCCTGTGGAGCAGGGGAGGATGGAAGGGGAGAGGAGTCATACAAGACTTGGCTACCTCCCTGCCCAGGCCCCCCCACACTTCCCTTCAGGGTCCATCTGAGCACAGGGCCCACCCCACCCCGCACGCCCCGCAGGGGACCCAGTAAGACCGGGGCAGCGTCCTCAGACTCACACGAACGTGAAGATAGCGATGATGGCCACCGTGATGAGCAGCTGGATAGAGATGATGGTGTAAACCTGGAACACAAGCCAGGGTGGGGGCGGCATGTGTCATTGTCCCACCCATCCCCCCAGGAAGCAGCCAGCCCCCCACCCAGGAGGCCAAAGACCCTCTCTGACTGGCGGGGAGCGGCCTCTTTCTTAATTTTGGAGGATCTCTTCTTATTTCATTTCCACTCAGGGGCCCTTCCCTGCTGCCGCCTGTCCTGAAGGCCACCCCGGAGTGAGGAGTCTGGCTCAGAGACTACCCACACCCTCAGGGCTGACCCCCACCTCCAGCTGCTCCTTGCCATCTCTCCCCACCTGCCATGTCCCACGGCCAGCCTCGCTTCCCTGCTTCCTCCCCCTGCCTCACTACCAGGTAGTCCTCCACGCTCACACAGCAGTTTCTGTGCCTACTCAGCAGGGTGCTGTGCACACGGGAGCCCGGGGAGAGGAGGAGTATAAACAAGTATGATCATTCTGCCTTCGAGTTGCTTCCAGTCCCAGAGGAGAAAGAAGTTTGGGGAGGGCAGGACACTCTGGCAGAGCCAGCCTAGATTTTCCTAGATTGAATCTGTCCCCTGCCACAAGGTCAAGGAAGAGAGGATTGAGAGGCGGGGAACATGGGTCAGGAGGAGCTGGCGCCCCTCCCGAGGGCAGGGCAGAGCTAGAAAAAAGTTGGAAGGCGGCAGCATATCTCCATGGGAATGAGTGCCCGGGGCTGACAGTGCCTGGCCCTCCGCACCCCGTCCCCACCCCATTCCCACCTCCCAAGGGGCCCGGGGACAGTGGCCTCCCAGCCCGCGTCTCACCTTTCGGATGAAGGTGTGCCGGACTTTCCTGTCATCCCACTCTCCAGGCCCGAAGCTTTCACTCACTGCTCTCTCCTCCCCATCATAGCCCTGGCCTGGGCCTGGAGGAACAGATCACATGTGACCAACTGGGGACTGGGACACGTGGCCTCAATCCCAAAGCCTGCATGACATTATGTCAGAGTCTCCAGTATCTCCAGCCAAAAGACAGGTGCCATAACTCAGGAGCTCCTCACCCAAGCCAGGGCCTCTAGACGCCCTCAGAGTGACCCAGGGCTGGCCTGGGCACCACATGGAGCCGTGTGTCCCTGTCATGAGGGGCCTTAGGTGTGAGCCCATCCATCAGTGCGCATTCATTGAGGGCTCCTGCGTGAGGGTGTCCGGCCCACACCTGGGTGCTCCGGGTTACGTGTAAACACACATGGTCCCTGCCATCTAGGGGTCACGACCTAGTGAGGAGGCCAGGCATGGGCAGGGCTTGGGGCATCAGCGGCAGGATGCCAGGGCCGTCAGGAATGAAAGGAGGAAAGGCAGGGAGAAACAGAGCACGTGTGTGGAGGGTGGAGAACAGAGTGAGGGCCATGTCCTCCATCCGGCAAGCTTGAGCACTCCGGGATGCCAGGGGTCCCCGTGCCCAGGACAAGGCGTGACTGTGAACGTGACCGGTGCGCTAACATCCCCACCAGACACGTATGAACACGTATGGGCAGCTGAGGGCTGGCCATGCCCCAGCATTCCAGAGGCTGCGGGGCTCAAAACATTCCCTCAGTGCCTCCTTAGGAACCGCTTTCAGAATCCACACATGAGCCATTCACAAAAAGGCGCTGCATCTCATGTCTCATTTCTGACCCAACAGGGCATTTACCTGCCATGACATTTATCAAACATCCAAATAACTTCTGGATGTTTGCAAAACTCAGACATTACCTTAACAGATGAGGACCCGTTAGCACCGAGAATATTAACAAAACAAGACCAAAAAAAAAGTGTTTCAGGTTCTAAAGGCAATTCCTAAGGGAGGACTCTGGGGGCAGAGATGGCACCTGTAAAGTTAGGACACGGAAATGGCTTCCTCCTAAGGTAGCCGCTCTGAAGTAACTAGTTACTTCATCCTGCCACTTTCTCATCTGATGTGTAAGTTCTGGTGTGTGACTATGGACTCGGTCTCCTTGCTGAATAAAGTGGCTAGCAGGCGTCTGGGGTGGGGGAGCGAGGTGCTGAGGGGGCAGGTGGGGAGGTGGCTGGGGGGGCGAGGCGCTGAGGGGGCAGGTGGGGGGTAGCAGGTGGCTGGGGGGTGCTGAGGGGGCAGGTGGGGAGGTGGCAGGTGGCTGGGGGGGCGAGGCGCTGAGGGGGCAGGTGGGGAGGTAGCAGGTGGCTGGGGGGGGAGAAGCACTGAGGGAGCAGGTGGGGAGGTAGCAGGTGGCTGGGGGGGCGAGGTGCTGAGGGGGCAAGTGGGGAGGTAACAACGATGTGGAAACAGAAAGAACTAAAGAGGAGATGAAAAAAGGGATGAAACAGGAAGCTGAGGGAAGGAAAAGAGGTGGCTCGTGTGGGACAAGTGCTGCCCCATCGCCCCCACCCCGGGGCTCCCTTCAGGGACTCACCGTAGTGCATGGGCATCGGGTGGATGGGGGGCATAGGCTGCGGGTAGCCAGCAGGGTGACCGTAGCCAGGCTGGGGGTAGGCAGGGTAGCCCCCAGGCAGGACGGACGGCTGCGCATAGCCCCCCTGGGGCGGAGAGCCAGGGTACAGGGGGTTGCGGTCCTCATACGGAGGGGGGGCGCTGGGGTTGGACATGGCCGCTCAGGGGCTGAGGGGAGACCCCAGCTGCTGGCACCTGAAATGGAGATGAGAAAAGCAGTCAGGAGTGCCCAGACCCAGCTCACCAGGCCCCAGTCCAGGCTGTCCCTGTGGAGAGGGGACCCTCCTATTTTCTCTCTTAATCACGACCCCCGTGTGTCATCCTGTGCCCACAGGCCATCCTCTCGGTCCCCACAGTGCTGCCTGCGCCACCAGCTCAGCCCCCGCCCCCTGGCATTCATGCCAGCTCTCTGTCCCCGGCCCTCCTTCCTGTGCAGTTTCAAGCCCCCGGAAAGCAGAAGGGGGCGGCTGTGCAGGAGCCCAGAGCAGTCACTGGGCACCGCTGGTGTGAGGGGCAGGGGGCGGGCCCGGGAACCCCTACCCCGTGCTTGTCTAAGCCAAGCTTCCAGTGACCAGGGAAGAAGGCTGCTGGCCCAGCCAAGCCTCGGGGTGAGTCACACGGCCAGCTGGGACCCATTGCAGGGGTCAGCCCAGCCCCCAGGGCAGGTGGCAGGGGCATGGGGCCTGAAAGGCAGAGTTGGGGAGGAGCCAAGGCTCAAAGGGGGGGGCAGGGGGGGCACGCGGAGGACAACAAGCTAGCCCCAGGGCCGAGCCACCAGGCCCGGAGCCGGAGGGCAGCGGGCCCATGGCCAGTGGCTGAGTCAGGGGACGCCGGAGAGGCCTGGGCGAGTGGGTGCGCTAGGCTGGCCACTCAGGGCTGGGAAGCTGCACAAAAGGGCAGGCCAGAGACAGGACTTTCTGGTTCCTTCAGATAACAGCCGAGGCACATCCGCCGGG